AATCGCGAGCTAACATAAAAAGTTCTCCGGGCTATATTCCTGGACACTAATTCAAGACTCAACAAGAAATACATGAAAAATTGAACTTCAAGAAAAAATCGGATTTATAAGGAGTTTCTATGACCAGTTTTTGAGAAAACTAACCAAAACTACTTATTAAGCAAAATGACGAATCACAGATGATTTTGTCGAAATGAAGTATAGTAAATATTCAATAGCCTGCTGTTGCTATCGAGATTTTTCCTTGTATACGAGGTGCAGTAAAAAAAATAATTCTTTCGAATTTTCTTGGTTTGAGAAAAAAAAACTTACCAAAATTTTCATCTATTTTAGATAAGAGAAAGGCGTTCGCTTTTAGTATTTACTTTTTAAGGTACGAATTTTTATAGTTAATATTTTTTCTAACACAAATGATATCGACACGTTGTCGTTTTTATCAAACATTTTTGAAAATAAAAATGAACTAGGTTTCCTTATCAGCTGAGTTAGAAATTCTTAAGTGTTACGCTTTAACGTTAAAACTAGTTACCAGAGAATTTTATTCTAACTACAGGGTGTTCAAAAAAAGATTAAAGAAGTTACATTTTTCAATTTTTTGAAAACAAATAATACAAAACTTCACTGGGCATAGCTTAGGGAGGTATCGAACACAATTTCTTAATAACGAGATTAGGTCTACATTATAAATGGTTGGTCCAAACTAAAGATTTGCCTACCAGATACAAAAATGTTGAAAAGTGAATTTTAAAAAAATTGAACAATCACTGTCACATATTCCAAGAGCCTATTGAATTCCCTTTCGAATGATGTTTCATGTCCCTATACTTAAATCGCTTGGTTTCTGAAATAAAAGTTTTTCTGAAAACTGGATTACTTTGGCATAATTCATTGTTTAAGTGGCGATGAAATATCCGTCTCATTTTAAATGATTGGTTTTCCGTTTGATACTTTAATGATTGATTGTGGTGCAAAGTTTGTCTATAAAATCAGTTCAAAATGAAAGGAAACCAGTATTCTAATGAATTTGTTTACTAAGCAACATTGTAGCCAGAACATTGAGAAAATTTAATGAACGATATCCTGGTATACAACACATGAACAAGAGAAAACTTTACAAACTATTGTTTGAAACAAAGGATATCTCCATCTTTACTAAAAAGTGTTATTTCGAACGAAGAAAGTGTAATAAACGTTTTGACATAATCGAAATACTAGATAGTTTTCATACTGGACAAATATAATAATAATTAATTTGTTCAGTTTTTAAAAAATGCTAAAAAATAACTTCCTTTTTTCTTAAATCTACGAACATTTATTTTATCCGAAATCATATATTTTTGTTCCATGACTTACATACATAGATCATATTGAAAAAAAAAACAAAGTTAGATACATTTTAATTGATTCTTTCATTTCGAGCATCTGAAATTACCATATTCTAATCTAATTGCCCGTAGAAGTTCCTCAAAAGAATCTAAATGTCTTTTTTTAGAAAACCGTTTTCACAAATCTTAGTTCTTTTAGAATTCAGCGCAAACAGTTTTAATATAACTGATTTCAACTATTCTAAAGGACGGAAAATATATTTGTTTGTTTGTATTTCTATAGTCACAAACAGAAAAGTACAATTCTTACTTATGTAAATAAATTCCTATGGAAAATAAAATTATCTGCTCACAACATTTAACGTTAAAGCTTAACAATAAGATTTTTTATAAAAACAATAAGAAATGTTTAAAAAAATTGTACCTTAGAAAGGAGATACAAAAAACGAACACATTCAACTTACATCCATAATGGATGAAAACAGACATACCAACTGTTTTCTTCATGTTTTAATAGTATCCAAAAGAAATTTTCAAAAAATTATACTTTTTGGCTTATCTACAACAGTAGGTTTTTTACACAAAATTATCTTGACTTGCGTCACTTGTCATATTTAAGTACCCCAAATTTTCGTTTCATAATTCAAAATTCAATAATTTTATAAGGGTGTTTTGATTTATTTTATTCTTTTTTAGCTATCGTTATATTTAATTATTTTTTTAATTTTTTAATTAATTAATTAAAGTTTGTTTAAGAATATTTTTTCTTCAAGACAGCTCCTTTTTTAAAAAGTCTGACGAGGTGAATTGTTTTTATCTCCCAACTGTATGTACAAGTGTTGCCAGTGGTGCGTTTTCTGCTACAATGTGACTACAGATGAAATTCATTAATTTCGAAACATGTCTCGTTGAGAAACGGTTTCGTATAATATCCTTTCACAAGTTCGTGAAGAGTTTTCTTCTGGTTTATAATAATAAATTATCTGTTATATGCGATTTTCATTAATAAGTAGATTTTTTCTCTCAAGGGGGTATTCAGAAAACTCTTGTTTCCAAACTTAGAAACTTAATATAATTCGGACATTTAAAAAATATAACTAGTACTAAAACATCCCAGAACTTCATTTCAAGTTCGCGTAAAGTCCCATGTATTTCGTGTGGCGTGCTTTGTAAGGTAAATTTCATAATAGTCTCAAATTTCCTGAAGGGTATCGGGCTTTTATATACATTTTTCCCTTTAGTTAGGACAGATTGTGAACTAAACGAAAGCTAAATTTTACACTGATTGGAAATTTACAAACTTCAATCATATTTTTTATGTCAAGATGTCTTCTCATCATAATATGAGGGTTTTTGAAAATTGACCTGCATATTTTGAAAAATAATTTTAAAATTATTGTTTTTATTTCAATATCAAGGAAGATTGAATATCTGTGTCTTATTGTCCAGAATTTTAATTTTTATATGAAAGTAAAATTAAATTTTCAGTTGCTAGTGTGATAGGCCTTGCCGAGTACCCGTTGATACCTAAAAAGCTTATAAGTTTCAAAAATATTCGAGAAGTTTCCTTTTTAAACACCTATTTTGGGTTACCTACACTGATACAATTAAACCTTAATTGTATTTATTTTTTTAATTTTCAATTTCAAATCAAAAAGTTCTAAATGTGCGATAATTTAATTAAACTTAAAAGCGTTGGAAACCAAACAACTACAGGAGACATGACAACAAATATATGAAATATGCCAGGTTAAAGTAACTTTTATTCAAATTTTTAACATTAAAAAAAAAATTGCTTATATTATTTCACTTATGATGGTTGCAATGATATTACACACAACTTTGGCTTTTTAAAACCCTTTCATCCTTTAGACAGATTCATATGTTTTGCTTTTTGATTAAGAATCTTAGATCGTACTTAAAACCATCGAAACCCAATTTTCAGCACACTTAACGAGCCTCATCCAATGAATAAAATCAAAATGTTGTAAACATTTTTTAAATCATTTAAATTGGACCGTTACTCTCAGACTGTAGGTTTTATAACTTTTTAATATACATTTACCCTTAGTAATAGTATACAAAAATGGAGATATTTAGCTTAATTTTCTCTCTAAATTCCAAAATTTAAAAAATATCATTCATTGTTGTCCATAACTGTTTTCGCACCCTCTATAAAAAACAACTCTGGTTAATGAGTGGCTTAGAAACATTCAACCTCTTTTAATATTATGATTAAAAACAATTTAATGTCCTGTATTTATAAAAGATAGGTTGGTTTTTCAAAAAATTGTTGTAATTTCACTACATAATAAAACCGATATGACAAATCTGAGATAAAAATTGTAAGTTATTTTAACTTTTCAAAATATACTGTAAGAATGATATATATCGCTAGATTCTTAATGCCAGAAAGTAATAAAATGTAAATTTTCCACTGACAACGTGAAGGTTATATCATAAAGTTCAGATACATTGCAATGTTTGAAAATTCCGCATTTTATAATAATAATTATACATAGTTTTAATGATAAAGATGGACACATAATTGAGATATTAACTATTCTAACATCAAATAAACATAACCTTATATAGAAATAAGAATAATATGAAAATGGATAAATTGTAATAACTATTACTATTTAAAAAAATCTACTACATATTACGAGTAGCCAGATAAACTATAGTCATTGAAGTCCAGAGGAATAATAAGGGACTTTACATTATTTTCTTTCTTTTTATTTTTCACTATCTTTATTCCATTTTGCAGGTGAGTTTTAACGTTCATAATTTTAAAACTCGTATTATGACTTCCTACAAACCCTTATACTTGTGGCCATGCAAATTCTATATCCTCATTTCAGTCCTTCATACTTTTTAAATGACAGAACACAAGTGATACTTAACGAATCCACCTCTAAGCCTTTGGATGTTAGCAAAGGGGTATGATTAGAGTTTTTTAGTTCTCATCTTTATGCCTATAATATCCAACAATTTGAATAGATGTTAGGATTCTGTCACTATGCTCTATTGCTCGTAATTAATTATATTAATTATAAATGTTTTGCCTTTTTGTAACTGATTAAAGGTTGAGGACTTATTAAAGATTCTCTACTAAAATTTAGGATACTGTATTCAAAAAGTTCAACACTCCCGTCTTAAATTGGTATATGGAGTTGGACGTGGGATTTGAATCTTCGTAGAAGGGGTCTCCTTACTGTGCAACAGCATCGTAATTAAAAATTTACTTAGATACTTCTTTGTCCTTAATTCTAAATTAATTCTACCATTTAATGCTAAATTTTAGACTGTAACAGTGTCTGGTTTATTAATTTTTGTTCTTATTGGTTAAAGTAATAATTTATTATTATTATTATTATTATTATTATTATTATTTTATTATTTATTATTTATTATTACTAGTGAACGGGCATTTTTTTTATAAAAATGCCATTAAAAATCTTAATTAGCTGAAATTTTAGTTTTACGCATTATTGACTGTACTCCATATTTCCAAGTTACTTTTATCTTAACACATGGATATGGAAACAATTATGTTAGCCGAGTTTCCAAATGAAATAAATTAATCGAAAACGCCCTGGATTAAATTCGCATTAAACACCTTGCAGCTATAATTTGCTTTAGAGTTGCTTGCATCGCAGCAAAAATTTGTACCTTTGGCTCCGTAAGACATTCCGAACAATCCTGGAGTGTAGGAAAAGTGAGCCCGAGCATCAATCGAATACATTTGTCCTGAAACACAAAACGTTTACGGTTTTTTTGGCCGGCGGATAAGTCAAATTTCCATTGCTGAAAAAACTTAAACCTGCAGAAACACATATTTGCTGGCGCAAAAAAAAGAAGATTAGGCAAAGTTTTCATATTTTTACCTTGCCAATAATAGCTCCCTGGCGCTCCAACGAATAAACGGTCTCCCATCTGTAAAAAAAAGATGAAATACTTTATCCAGATGATAGGAAAATATTATACAGTGCGTCCAAGATAAGGATGACCTGGATCTTGGAAACTGCAAGAGATACAAAGATAGTTAAATAAGAAAGAATTTGCAAAATATAAAGGTTAATAAACTTAAATTTGCCGATTGCGTTCTTATTTTTCATTTTTCAAAATCACCATTAACTTATTTTTCTCATTTGGTTCGTGAAAAAGCTACACCATATATTAAATACCATTTTTTATTACGAATACAACGATGTACGGGACAATATGATTCTACACTGCTTAAATCAGAAAAAAGGGTTATAGTTTGTCCTTTTGTTTATTATTTATTTTAGAGAAAAATTTTAAATACAAAACTCATAGAAGAGACTAAAAGAAACAATGTAAAACTACTTTTAAATATACAGGGTGATTCATAAATATGTGAAAAACTATATTAAAACAAATGTTTACGGGTGTTAGAAAACGTTTTGTTATTTGTAGTAGGTCCTATATACTTGCATTACTTGATGATTTGATATTGAATTTAAGTAATTAATGTTTAAAAAAAAAATTAGAATAGGTTATTACACCAGCTTAAAATTATCATCAATTATATTTATCATTAGTTATTATATAATTTTGAATACAAAAAAAAACAATTGAAAACGTAATGGGAAATATACTCTGTTTAAATGGAACATCCTGTATATTTTTTACTCTACCGTTCGTAAATCACCAACAGAACAAAAAAGGTCATATGCCATATTGGTCTAATATTGAAAATAACCTAATTATCAGCACATTTCTCTTTTAGACTAGGTGGCTATGAGTGGTTACGAAATAAAACTCTATTTTCCTTTTTTCTGTATTTGAATGTAAGAACCATGAAAATAAGAAAATGGGAAAAGAAAAAAACTATTAAAGTTATTTAAGAGGTTTTGTGTTGGTGATTTGCGACCGTTAGAGTAAACCTATATAGGATATTCAATTTAAAAAGTGCGTTTTCCTCATTTTCTCTAAACCCTACATTTAATTGTTTCTCTGTTTTCACCATCGTAATCGGTGCGGAAAATGCTACTAGTTTGCTAATTTAATCGACTTTGTATGGCTACTCATAACAAAGTTATCATTGATGAACACTTAATTTAGATCATTCTGTATAGGTTTAGTTAGATTTAAAATAAAATAGAGCAGTTGGCCATAGCTTCTAAGTGCTAAATACATAAATTAGTTTTTTTAATTAGATAAACAATTGTTTATTTTCATTTGTGAACACCCGGTATAATATATCTTCGCCATAGACAGTTCAAAGCATTAAATATTTTTCCATGGATCATCCATAATAAAAATTCCCAATTTTAATTTTAAAGTGTGAAAAACACAAAAGTTAATATTTCTCAAAAAATACTCCAAATTTCGTATGCTGTGTAATGACAAAAAATACTCAAAATTAAGTGAATAGTTAGAATAAAAATATTCATAGCTTTCCATCTAAAAAAATAATGTTGGTTACTGTCCAGGCGCAACGCAACACCCGATGTACATAAAATACACGAATACATGAATTGAATTACATTGCACGAATTAAATGCAAATCGACTACCCTTGTTTTAATGAGTTAGTTCTTCGGAAGCAAATCCATAACTGGTGGTTAGTTATTTTTCACTCATATTATGTACTTTCTTATTTCAGTGCGTTACTAACCTTTAAATTTTGCAGGTTTTATATATTTTAATTTAATTTAATCTTGGTATCGTTTTTCTTGGACACACGGTATAAGAAACTCAATGAATTCATTTGAAGGGATTTGTAAAGAATACTAAAAAAGTTTAAATGACTTACCGAGTTAATTGCTGCGCTGAATCCTGCCTGACACGATCCTTGACGATGGTAACCCCAATTACCTGAAAAAAAGCATTTGCGAATAATTAGTAAGTAACGCCTGATAAGATGATCACGATGAAATCCGGAAAGTTGGAAAACCGTCGATGATATTGACATCCCTTTTAATTTTGAAAAACGCATAATAAAATTTAATGCATATTTAATTTAAATTAATTTAAATGCGTAGATTCTTTATATAATCTTCTTCTTTAAAACGAATATGATGTAATAGAGGTAATTTTAAATATAATATAATAAAATTAGATATGCTAGATACAACAAATTAATATAGTGAAATATTTTCGGAGACTATTCAAGCTCTGAATTTACAGCAAGTAATAAATGAACCAACAAGACTTATACAAAGATCCTCAACTGCTTGATTTCATTATACCTTCCAAAAATTAAAAAAGTTGAATACGGGTTAATGAATGCAGATTATATATCTGATCATTCACCGGTTTATTGTAATATGACAAACGTGACACAAAGAAAGGGAAATTTCTGAAAATATAATTAAAATCAAGAATTTTAACGATATTGATAACGAACTTTTAAATATTTTTTTACTGAATTCACAGTTAGAGTGCAATATTTAAGTGCAAAAATGTTTCAGAATGCCAATATATATATATATATATATATATATATATATATATATATATATATATATATATATATATATATATATATATATATATATATATATATATATATATATATATATATATATATATATATATATATATATATATATATATATATATATATATATATGATGTAGAGTGGTGCCCTCCCATGTAAAATCCTCGGTTAAGGTGGCATCCGGGACAAAGTGAACTCCGATATACGGATGCCAACTTTTGAGCACCACCTATCCAAAAACACTTAAAACTTGCGGATGTCAATTTTCACGTTAGCTGGATAAAATTATACGAGGTGGTTCAACGAGATTCCGCTTTTGTCTCTAGCATCGATTTCTGTGCCCGTATATTGGTTATATATTTAGGGGTGGCATTGACTTCCCCAATTTATGTGTATATAGTGGCAACGGTTACTTTGACTTCCATAATTTACCGTGTATATTGGAAATATGTTGTCGGGTTATGTTGGCTTCCCCATCTGACCGCGCGTTATAGTTTTATTTTTAGTGGCCACATTAGGATCTCTTAAACCCAACGTTTCTGAATATTTTCATTAACTGTAAAAATTTGTGTCTCCGTAACTTAACAATGAATCGTAGAAGTAAACGTATCTTGGATTTAGCTGGAGACAAGAGCCTAGCAGGTAGGAATTTTTATAATTATTGTATTAGCTTCATATTTTCTCAGGAATGTATAGCAAGCAACACAATACCTTCGATTTCATTGTAGTATAGTATAGGGGGTACCGTTAAATTGAATTTTTAAACGAACTTTAGCTTCCAATGGATTTGTTCGGAAAATTAATGAAATGAATAAAAGGTCAGCTTTTTTATTTGCACTTTTTTTTTGACAATATGTCAAAATTATTATACAATCTGTTTTAAATCTAGTTACAAAGTTTTGCCGCATCAACCATCACGAGACTTAATTCGCAGATTAAGATGCTTACGATATATTTAAAATAACTGTCACACACAAACACTACAAAAGTCAAATCATTCATGTTAATATATTTTCAACATATTACGCGATTCCGTTACTTTTTTTAATGTTAACCAGATATGAAGGCAAGTTTATATAATCAAAGGGCCGAAAATGCATGTTTTCTAAGACAAATGTAAACTTTTCAAAAACCGATTGCAATTTCAATTTGCAGTATAACCTTGTCATCAAGTATTTTCCTAGTTTACTGCAGTTAGATGATACATCGCATTCAATTTTTGGTTTTAGAGATAAAGGCTGAAAATAGTCCCGTGTTTCTTATTTAAGTTAAGTAAGTTTTCAAGTTTTGGGAAAATTGAACCTGAACTCCGAATAAAAACAATATTGAATTTTTTTCGACATGTTCTTGTTCTCGTTCAGATGTCAAACGGACAAAAACTTTCGCCTTTGAAGAAAAGGACATTCTTTATGAAAATTTTTGATTGAAGAAAAAATATTATTTTGTATGCAGAGTGTCCAAACCGTTAACAATTGTTTACAATAGTAAAGCAAACTTATTCTAAAGTTTTTAGCAAATTGCTACTTCATATTATGAGTTCTGAATGAGATATTTTAAACAAAAGAAGCAAAAAAACATTGTCATCCAAACTTAATGAAAACAATTAGACCCAATTTTGAAATATTATTTTGCTAAAAACTTTTAAATAAGGTTACTTTACTCTTGTAAAAAAATGAGTTGTAAGAAAATGAATTAAATGAATCACATTTTCTCGAAAAAATGCATTTTTGGTATCTGGCTTAAATCACAGACATATTTTTTAAAGTTATTGTTATAATGTGTGGAACTATCAGTGAAAAATGAAAATTACGTAACCTCTTTACATTGTTAAATTTTTGTTTTGTAGATATGATAAATAGTTTCCGATTCGGAATATAAATTACCAGAAGAATCCGAAGCAGAAAGTTCTTGGGAATGTGGATGCAGAGAAAGTGATTTTTTTTGGATAGCCCTATTGAACTGCGTCAAGAATTGCCCGACAGTACATATATTACGCTGCAAACAATAGAACCAAGTTTACCTCCCGAAGAAAATAATAGCGTTGACTGTGTCAATCTCAGACAAAATGACAATCTGGATTGCGAAGTTAAAACACCAGGAAAAACTCGACATGTTAGGAGAAAACATCAATGCCTATATTGTAATCAAGATGTCGGAAATTTCTTCAGGCACATGGAGCATAATCACTGGGACGAATTCTAAGTACAGGAAATTTTGTCGCTAGAGAAGAAATCGAAGAAACGGATTAAGTTGATTGACAAACTTCGTAGGGGAGGTGACTTTTCTACATCAAATATTGTACCTGTAATGACAAAAAAAAAGCCATTTGAAGGGTATATTGTATGCAAATTTTGTCAAGGCTAGGCCAAGAATAGCCTTCGTCGCCACGCAAAAAAATGTTTCTTTAATACTGATTCAGTCAACGCTTTCAAGCACAGATTGAAGGTCAAACCGTAATGGTTGGGATTTTTGGACCAAATGATATTTAAAAATTAGTGGTCTTATAAACATGTTACGAGCAGATGAAACTTGGTTGGTTGCTAAGAAAGATCAACTTATCTGTGAAGTTGGTAGGCGCTATATAAAAAGTCAAAAAGAAAAACATCTTTTGGTAGTAGCGAAGCTGAACATGAGACGATTAGCTCGTTTACTCATTAGCGTCAGAACACTCAAAACTAATAAAACACTTTAGCTGAGATTCTCTTGCCTAAAATGTTTAAAATACTGGTTTTAGTTACAAGGTACATAGCAGAGTATGACGCTGAAAATTTCAAGGGATTACTAAAACTTATTGATAATGACTATTCAATTGAGGCTTCGAACGAAGCCGGACAGAATTTGGCTTACAAAATATGCTTACAGGAGATGAGCTTAATCGAGAGTCATCCTGGGATATTTTTACAAACAAAACATGGTCAGTTATAAATTAAAATAAATTTAATAAAAAATAACGGGTCTGAAGGTGTGTTATTTACAAATTCTGAAATGTTTCCTTTTTAGTTTACCAATGTTAACGGATCTTATATGAAAACTATTCTTTTTGTTCCAAATTTTTTTCTACGAAAAAGATATAGTTTTTATTTTATTGATGCAATCTATTTTATTTTAATTCATTTGATCATTGCGTATGAAATATGATAAATAAAGACTATTATATTTAATTTTTGCATTTCTCTTATCCGTTATTTGCAATCCCTTGGACAGAACGAAATTCACATCCGAAATCCAGAATCGAGTGAGGGTATACAATGAAGTGAGAACAAAAAATGTATATTAATTAAGCCCAATCTGCAACCCCTTGGATACAGCAAGATTCTCGACTGAAATCTTAAATAAGGAGCAGAGGAATACCTTATTTTAAAGCTTTTGAAAAACGCTTAAAATTCTTGGTTTGCTAGAAAACAAAAACAATTTTTTTGAATGTTTAAATAAATAAAAAATAACTTAATGAAATGAAAATTAAATCTTTCAAAAGTTTGCATTCATTTACATCAAACCGAGAAGAATATTATAAAATCTATATTTTCTAATATTCCTCAAAAACATTTTTCAAAAGCTTAAATGAGCATCACTCGAACCTCTTTCTACTTAAAATTTGAATGGTCAATGTTTAACGTCTAGTTAATATACTTTTATATTTTCACTTCTCCTAATAGAAACCGTTTATAGGGATTTTCGATTTTTTTTTCGTCCCTAAGACTTTTAGGTTTTTAAATTGTCATCTCTATATGCAATTATAACTCAAAAGCAAAATAAAATACTTTAAAATGGACATAAACTGTTTCAAAAAATATATAAACATTAGTAAACTAAAAATGTAAATTGCTACTTCATATTATGAGTTCTGAATGAGATATTTTAAACAAAAGAAGCAAAAAAACATTGTCATCCAAACTTAATGAAAACAATTAGACCCAATTTTGAAATATTATTTTGCTAAAAACTTTTAAATAAGGTTACTTTACTCTTGTAAAAAAATGAGTTGTAAGAAAATGAATTAAATGAATCACATTTTCTCGAAAAAATGCATTTTTGGTATCTGGCTTAAATCACAGACATATTTTTTAAAGTTATTGTTATAATGTGTGGAACTATCAGTGAAAAATGAAAATTACGTAACCTCTTTACATTGTTAAATTTTTGTTTTGTAGATATGATAAATAGTTTCCGATTCGGAATATAAATTACCAGAAGAATCCGAAGCAGAAAGTTCTTGGGAATGTGGATGCAGAGAAAGTGATTTTTTTTGGATAGCCCTATTGAACTGCGTCAAGAATTGCCCGACAGTACATATATTACGCTGCAAACAATAGAACCAAGTTTACCTCCCGAAGAAAATAATAGCGTTGACTGTGTCAATCTCAGACAAAATGAC